AAGAAATCTTAAAAAACTTAATAAACTTCTTTGGGTGATAAAAATAAATTCAAGTTTTTTTTTTGTGGTGCTGTTCCTTTGTAGCCTAGTTCTAGGCACCATGAGGACTTTCACAGGACTTTCTTCCTTGTGTTCTCCGTTTTTTTTTTGTTCATTGTGTCATAAGGTTAAATTATGATTATTTAAAACTGTTGGTCGTTTTATTTCGCTTTGGAAAATTCTCCTTACAATGCCTATTGCCTACAGCTGAAAGCGACAAATAAGGATAAAGACAAAGGCTTCGCATGTGTGCATGGAAACAATGCCTTTGTCCACACACACGCGTTCACACAATGGGAACAATGGTGCCAGGATCTTCCTACATCATATCTTGCGGAATAAGCAAAATTAAAAGTAATGTCAGTGATGAGAGAGGAGAAAGGAGACTCCAGAGGTGTAAATAAAGGGAGCCAACATATATAATTTACGATTAAAGGCAATTGTATGAAATTGTTATTAAAAATGAGATTGAAAGATTATCATTTAAAAAATCGACCCCTTATATAGAGCTCCGAAAAAAAATTCTTTTAAAAATCCACGCCTTATATAGAGCTCAGAAAAAATCTTTTAAAAATCCACGCCTTATATAGAGCACAGAAAAAAATCTTTTAAAAATCTACGCCTTATATAGAGCTCAGAAAAAAATCTTTTAAAAATCTACGCCTTATATAGAGCTCAGAAAAAAATCTTTTAAAAATCTACCCCTTATGTAGACCTCAGAAAAAAATCTTTAAAAAATCCACGCCTTATGTAGACCTCAGAAAAAATTCTTTTAAAAATCCACGCCTTATGTAGACCTCAGAAAAAATTCTTTTAAAAATCCACGCCTTATGTAGACCTCAGAAAAAATTCTTTTAAAAAAAAATCCACGCCTTATGTAGACCTCAGAAAAAATTCTTTTAAAAATCCACGCCTTATGTAGACCTCAGAAAAAATTCTTTTAAAAATCCACGCCTTATGTAGACCTCAGAAAAAATTATTTTAAAAATCCACGCCTTATGTAGACCTCAGAAAAAAATTATTTTAAAAATCCACGCCTTATGTAGACCTCAGAAAAAATTATTTTAAAAATCCACGCCTTATGTAGATCTCAGAAAATAATCCTTCCTTGGAAAAGATTCTTCAAAAAATCTAAGTTAGTCCTAAAAACATTATTCCCTTTAAGGTAGGTGTTTTCATTCCCTCTCTCTTCCCATTTACCCCGACAATTTGACAACTTAGTTTAATTTTAGCGTGGCATCTAACATCTCTAAACGAGTTTTACTGGCAGTTGAAGGCTTCATTCCCTTTTTTGTCCTGCCTTGACACAACTTGTTACACGCACAATTATCTTGAAACTCCAAAACAAGTCCTTACACAAGTCCTTTAATATGTAGTTGTTGTTGTTGTTGCTGCTGCTGTTGTTCGGCCTTTCCTCTGGGAAATAAAAAGTTTTCTGGTCCAGCAAACAAAACACGAAAGCGAAAACAAACAACAAAAACAACGACAAGGAAGAAAAAAACGTTTTTCTACTTGGCCCGGTTTTTAAATTGTTTTGCCTTCGCCAGAGCCCTTTTTTGCCGACCAAATCCCAGGAAAACCAAGAAAAAATTGTGTGTTTTGTCTTTATTAGATCACACACACATACATACATGAACACATTTCAACCCCTACCTCTAAAAAAGTAAATACTTTTCTTAAATTTGGGATTTTTCCTTCCTTTTTTGTGGAGGTTTTTTTGTCTTATTTATTTGCTGTTGTGCCAACAGTTTTCAGTTTCAGTTCCTTCGTTTTTTTGAGGAGGCGTTAAAGGTTTTACCACCAGCTTTAGTCTAATGGCCATAAGATTTACTTTAAAGATAAGCAGCATAAATTCCATTCAACTAAGTATGTGTTGTGACAATAATTTGAGAAAAATTATCAGGAAGTAAGCTGAGTGTTTTGGAAAGAGGAATAGGGAGCCTAAAAGTATGCAAGAGATTTAAAGATAAACATATTTGAAAGCGTAGATTTTTTTAAACAATTTTTTCTGTGCTCTATATAAGGCGTAGATTTTTTAAAGAATTTTTTCTGTGCTCTATATAAGGCGTAGATTTTTAAAAGATTTTTTTTCTGAGCTCTATATAAGGCGTAGATTTTTTTAAGAATTGTTTCTTTAATTTAAAGATAAACATATTTGAAGGCGTAGATTTTTTTAAACAATTTTTTCTGTGCTCTATATAAGGCGTAGATTTTTAAAAGAATTTTTTCCGAGCTCTATATAAGGCGTAGATTTTTAAAAGAAATTTTTCTGTGCTCTATATAAGGTATCGATTTTTTAAAGAATTTATTCAGGGGCCTACATAAGGCGTAGATTTTTTAAAGAATTTTTTCTGTGCTCTATATAAGGCGTAGATTTTTTAAAGATTTTTTTCTGTGCTCTATATAAGGCGTAGATGATTTAAAGATTTTTTTTGTGCTCTGTATAAGGCATAGATTTTTAAAGATTGTTTTCTGTGCTTTATATAAGGCGTAGATTTTTAAAAGAATTTTTTTTCCGAGCTCTATATAAGGCGTAGATTTTTAAAGGAATTTTTTATGTGTTCTATATAAGGCGTAGATTTTTAAAGAATTTTTTCCGGTGCTCTATGTAAGGCGTAGATTTTTTAAAGATTTTTTTCTGTGCTCTATATAAGGCGTAGATTGTTTAAAGAATTGTTTCTTTAATTTAATTTTTTAAAGAATTTTTTCAAGGGTCTAGATAAGGCGTAGATTTTTTAAAGAATTTTTTCTGTGCTCTATATAAGGCATAGATTTTTTAAGGAATTTTTTCTGTGCTCTATATTTGGCGTAGATTTTTAAAAGATTTTTTTTTCCGAGCTTTATATAAGGCGTAGATTTTTAAGAGAATTTTTTTCTGAGCTCTATATAAGGCGTAGATTTTTTAAAGAATTTTTTCAGGGGTCTATATTAAGCGTAGCTTTTTTTAAAGAATTTTTTCCATGTCGTCCTCCTAAGTAAATATTTGCAACGGTGTACCACTTCCCTTCTCACAACGTTTGGCTGCCATTAATATATATATTTTTTAACAAATTTTAATATGAAATTTATTTTTTATTCTCATTTCTTTACAGCTCACCAATCTAAAAAAAATGAAATAAAAAATACAACAAATTAATTAATAAAAAAATTACCAACAAAAATAATAATTTTATAATAAGAAAATAAGCAAAAACTTGGTTATAGGGAAATTAGGGCAATTATCCCCAAACATATATATAAAAATTGTCCCAAAAATTTTAGAAAGGGACAACGTATCCCTCTCTCTTTCACCCTAGAAAATCTTAAGTATTTTTTGTGAGAGTCCAGGTAAAACGTCAACGTCACAAAACTAACTGAGAACTGTTTCTTTTTCGATTTTTTTTTTTCATCTACGAAATTATCGCCGTCAAAATTGCTGCTGCTGCCCCGACGTTACTGCTGTTGGCCCATAAAACGACGTAATTACAACAACACGCTCTTCGAAATTTTCTATATTTTTTTCATCGGTTGCCTATTTTTCCGCGCGGCCTAAAAATCAATATCAATTTTTCTTTTTGTTTGCGACCTTGCTGCTGCCAACACAATTTGCCCTGATGACAAATTAAAATATTATTCATATCCTAAACGGAATAAAAAAATATATATACAACAACATTTTTTGCTACTTTTGTTGTTGTTTGCCATGTTTTAACCTTGTTAAATATCGTTTGGGGGCAAAACAACATTTGGGCGCCAATTATCGCCTGGAATCTACAACTGAAACAACAACACCTCAACAATGGCATATATTTTATTAAATAATATTGCGTGACATATGCCCACTATTTTTCTGCGTTGTTGTTGTCCCGCTGCTGAAATGACAAATTGTTGTTGCTGTTGGTGTCTTCGAACTCCACAAATGTCCTTTTGGCTGCAATGCTGCTAATGATGATGATGACATCGCATCTATTCACACATCTTGTAATATCCGATGATTTTCGGCTTGATATCAACTCGAACACAACCACGACGACAACAACAACAAACACCACCACAACTACAACAATCTTAATCAACGACTGAAACAAAAAATCCGAAACGAAAAAAAAATCAATTTCAAACAACAACAAAACGTAACTTCTTGTACAAAAAAATTAATAACAACAAAAAACTGTTTATACCCTACGAAAAAAAAAATTAACGAAATTGTTTTTAAACTCACCTCGATCTCCCTCGCGTATTTCACCCCGCTCTCCACTCTTGCATCCCACAACCCATTGCTTCAAAAACGTATAGCAAGAAAATAAAAAAAAATATTTTATACTCAAAACGCAAACTCTAAGCAATTTTTTGTAAAGAACAACAATTTTTGATACCTCCACACTATAATTTTTGTTGTGCTAGCCATAGAGTAAGTCTAGTAAATACAACAAAAAACAACTTGAAAAGAAAAATCCCAAACCAGGAAACTCAATTTCAAGCATTTTGTATAAATTGTTATCCTTATTGTTGTCATCAGCATCATCGTATCTTCTACACTTATCGCATCTCTCTATCTCGCCGCATCTGGTCAGTAACGTTGACAACGACCTACTTATATTTAAGACCTCCCCGAACAGACCACTAAACTCAAGAGAGAGCTATACGGACGCGCTACCATCATCAGCAGCATTATCCTCGTCATCATCGTCGTTAGTTACAATCCCAGATTGGGTCTTCTTCTAGTCTAGAGATAGACCACTTTTGTTCTCCTACGTATCTCAACAAGAAACAACATTTGTTTGTAGCTTGGCTATTTTGCAGGACATTAAACGTCCGTCCATACATACACCCTACCACTCTCTGTATCACTCTTCCCATAATACTATTGGCCTCATTTGGCCATTTTTCGCCGCATTTTTACTCCCACCCACAAACAACACAAACTCCAATACCCAGCGTGTGTCTGCTGTGTGTGTTTGTCTCTGCGCTCGCGTATCTTTTTTTGTTGTAAATAATGGGGCTGCAAGTGGCAGCAGCATTGCCAACAGCAGCCAATATTGTTGCAGTTACAACAGCTACACTATTTGTGTTGTTAATCTGGACACCAGTTGTTATTGATGCAGTCCGTGAGTACCAAGAAAACATTCTTTTCTTATATTTGACTTTTTTTATTCTACTTTAATTCAATATTTCTACAATTTATTTAAGTATTTTGTATTTAATATGTATTTGTATTGTATTGGTATTTATTCATATTATTTTATTACAAATTTACAATATATTCCATATGATAATATTTATTTCCCTTAAAATATGCTACAACTATTGTAAATGTGTTTGAATGTGCTCTAAACAAATGTTAGGCAGCATTTCTTGACGTAGAGCAACATTTTTCGATGTTGAGCAACATTTTTCGATGTTGAGCAACATTTTTCGATGTTGAGAAACATTACAAGACCATAGCAACATTTTCTCAAAAGTTTCCATAAACATTATTTATAGTAAATATCACATTTATTTCCCTCAAAATATGCTACTCTATTTGTAAATGCTTTTAAATTTGTCCTAAACAAATGTTGGGCAACAATTTTCGAGGTTGAGCAACATTTTGCGATGTTGAGCAACATTTGTCGATGATGAGCAACATTACAAGACCATAGCAACATTTTCTCAGAAGTTTGCATAAACATTATTTAAAGTAAATATCATATTTATTTCCCTCAAAAGATGCTACATTATTTGTAAATGCGTTTAAGTTGTCCTAAAGATATGTTGGGCAACAATTTTCGATGATAAGCAACATTTTCCGATGTTGAGCAACATTTGTCGATGATGAGCAACATTACAAGACCATAGCAACATTTTCTCAGAAGTTTGCATAAACATCATTTAAAGTAAATATCATATTTATTTCCTTCAAAATATATATGTATTTATTATTTTCATAAACGTTACAAAGTTGCTTACATTATTTTGATCATATTTGAAGAATATTAAAGATGATTACGGCATGGTTCATATGAACCGTCTGCCGGAACTTTGAGTTTTATAACTTAATCAATAATTAAATTTACTAATTAAAAATTGTCAAAAGATTAGTGCTTCCTTTAAAAAAATATATAAACAAAACCAGGAAATATCTTCACCACCATTTAATTGATATAATATTTGTACACGATTTAATTCGCTTTTCTGGAAATATTTTGTTCTCAAACTATTAAGGACTGGGCACCGACCGAGGACATGTTCTAATGTCTCTATTTCACTCAGGTTGCATCAGGAACAATTTCTTTGGTTTATTGCTCTATACATTGAACCATTTAAATATAAGAGGTCTCCTCTTGCACGCATAATCAATGAAATTTGATTTTGATTGTAGTCTTTGCAGCAATATAAAGGTCCAAGATTATGATTGAGGCTGCTATATATCCTTTGAACACTATTTTGAGCCTTAAAGATGTTGCTGTTCACAGTTTTTTGTTTCATAGTATCTAATAGTTTACTACAAGCATTACTCCATGTTATTTCGTTTTCAATAACATTATCCATTTGTACGGTATTTTCTGATAGCTTTAATCGAATATCCTTGAACCAACATAAATTTGTATCTTTAATTTTTAAAAACAGTTTGTGAGGCAATCGATGTTCTTGCATATCAAACAAAAGCTTTGATATATATTTTAAATGAAGTGTGTACGTATAAAAGTATCCTTCCTCGTAACCAGTTTCTAAGGCCAGTACATAATTGGGTGTATGTTCAGGGTGTATGTCAACTTCTTCAAAATAACCATTTCCCCATATTTGAGCTCCATAACTTTGAATCGATCTACATATTGCAAGAAACATTTTCCATTTTGCATGTAGGGTTATATTTGTTTTCCCAATGAAATCTTTTCATGATGCATTTAAGCATGCTTTTGCTGCATTAGTTTTACGTTCTATATGCTTCCTGACAGAGAGTCTCGGTGTTAGTGTCATACCGAGGTATTGATATTCATTTACAATACTGAGCAATTCTCCCTTGTAAGTCCATTTTTCGTTTTCTGCCAATCTGTCATTTTTTTCTGAACACCATGATTTCCGACTTTGTTGGATTGACCATCGTCCCCACACATCACTGTATTTTGCAAGATTGTTTATAATTTCTTGCATTGTGTCAACATCATCAGCCAGTAACACAATATCGTCTGCGTACATCAATAGGCATATGTTCATGTCATCTATGTAAATACCTCCTTCGAGAAATTCATGCAGATCTTTTAGATATAGTGAGAACAGTATAGGCGACAGCAAACAGCCTTGCTTAACACCATATTTGGTTTCAAAATGTTTAGACAATTCCTTACCAGTCCACACCGCAGATTTCGTGTCGATGTAAACATTTTCTATAAAGTTAACTATTTTTGTTGACAAACCCGAACTGTGTAGTTTATAGATGAGACGTTGTCTCGGTATTGTATCAAATGCCGCTTTAAAGTCTACGAAGAATGCATATACTTTTTTTACCTTCATCGAACTTGAGGTTTACAATTGACACCAGGTTAAATACATTATCAACTGCGGTATAACCAGTTCTAAAGCCAGCCTGAAACTCATTTAAGACTTGGAATCGATTAATCCATTCCGTTATTCTTGTGTTGAGCATACCCATCATAAATTTGGCTATGCAATTCATAAAGCTTATTCCTCTGTAATTGCTTGGAGTGTTGATGTCCCCTTTCTTATGAATTGGGTAAATGATATTTGTTCTGAACATATCGTAATATGCTAAACAAAATATGCTACACTATTTGTAAATGTTTTTAAATTTGTCCCAAACAAATATTGGGCAACAATTTTCGAGGTTGAGCAACCTTTTTTTAAGTTAAGCAACATTTTTCCTTGATGAGAAACATTTTTCGATGTTGAGCAACATTTTGTGATGTTGAGAAACATTACAAGACCATAGCAACATTATCTCAGAAGGTTGCTGAAACATTTTCATATAGTAAATACTTATCAACATATGTATCCATGGCGAACATTTTCTAAAATACTTAGAGAAATGTTTGGCAACATTTTGTGATGTTGAGAAACATTACATGACCATAGCAACATTATCTCAGAAGGTTGCTGAAACATTTACTTAGAGTATATATTTAGCAACATATTTAGCCACGGCAAACATTTTCTACAAATTTTGGCAACAGTTTTTTTCTTCGCACAGAATATGCCACACTTTTTTGATTTTTTTTTTTTCAGAATTTGACACACACAAATGTTTTGCCACATTTTTCGATGTTGAGAAACATTAGATGAGCATAGCAAAATTTTCTAGGAATGTTGCCGAAGCATTTACTCAGAATAAATATGTTTAGACCTTGTTACAAGCAGTACGAATGCGATATTTTTCATTTTTGGAAGAACTTTTGTGAGGAACCTTTTTTACTGTGGCTGAAACAAATGAAGACAAGGTGTGTAGCTTCGAACATAATTTTATTTCATTCGGATATTTCAATTATTTCAAAAGTTATGAGTCAACGAAAATGCAACGCCAAATAATTCCAAAATTTGAAAAAATGAGGTACAGTTGTCATTTTAGGCATAACTCTTGTTTTAAGTCAGCTATATAAATAAACTTTTCCTCATATGAAAGGCCACGGTGTTCCCTTTAAAGCTATAGTTCAGAAGAAATTTATGGATCCGCTAAATTCCTCACTTATTCCTGCGAGTATATGTACAATAGTCTTAAACCTTTGAAGGTGTAATGTGCGCTTATGCGATAGTTGTAATTTTTTAAAGAATTTTTGTGAGCAGTCTATTCTTGTTAGTTCCTCAGCGAATAGTATAAGATTCAAGCTTTCGAATGCATTTTAATTCATGCTGATATTTCCATTAGTTCATATTTTATGACACAATGAAAATAGTCGCGCAAAATCCTAAGGAAATTTGTAAAGTTTAGACACTTTTATCATTTTCGGCATAACTCTTATATTAGGTGTGCTATTTAAATAAATTGTACATGAAATGGAAGGTCGCGGCATCCTCTAGAGTTCAGAATAATTTTATAACTCCGCGAATTTCCTCATTTATTCCTTTGAGTATAGATTCAATAGCCTTAAAACTTCAGAGGTAAAATGTGTGCTTACGTTATAATTGTATTTTTTTGCAGAACTTTTGTGAGGAGTCGATTTTTGTTTTGTTTTCAGTGGAATGTGTAAGATTTAGGCTTTTAAAGGCATTTTATTTCATGCCGATATTCGCATTTCTTCATATGTTATGGCCCAATGAAAATGATTACACAAAATATTACCTAAATCAGGAAAATTGAGGTGCTTATGTCATTTTGGTCATAGCTTTAGTAATATGATAGCTATGGAAATAAATTTTACATTAAATTAAAGATTAATGTGTCCTCTTTAATACCGTAATTAAGAATAAATTTATAGCATCACGAATTTCCACAGTTATTCTATAGATAAATAATTCGATAGCCTTAAACCGTCAAAGGCGTAATGCGAGCGAATGCGGTATTTGTAATTTTTTAAAGAATTTTTGTATGGAATAGAATTTTGTTGATTCTTCATTATAAAGTGTACGATTCAAGCTTTCAATGGCATTTTATTTCATGCCGATATTCCCATTATTTCATATATTATGGCCAAATGAAAATAATGACGCTAAATCCTGCCGAAATTTGGAAAATTGTGGTACTGTTGTCATTTTAGACATAACTCTTATATTCGGTGAGCTATAAAAGTAAATGTTAGCTCTAATGAAAGGTTATTGTGCCTTCCTTAATTCTCTAGTTAAGAACAAATTTATAGCTTTACGAATTTCCTCAGTTTTTCTATGGAGAAGTGGTTCTACATTCATAAACCTTCAATGGTGTTATGTGAGCGAATGCGGTATTTGTAATTTTTTAAAGAATTTTTCTATGGAGTAGAATTTTGTAAACTCTTCATTACAAAGTGTACGACTTAAGCTTCTAAATGCATTTTATTTCATGCCGATATTCCCATTAGTTCATGTGTTATGGCCCAATGAAAATTATTACGCAAAATCCTGCCGAAATTTGCAAAATTGTGGTACTGTTGTCATTTTAGACATAACTCTTATATTCGGTGAGCTATGGAAATAAATTTTA